CTGAATGTCCCCCGCCAGACGAAGGGATAAATCAATGCTGTGTATCTATGCAATGGAATATTATTTAGCCTTAAAAAGGAGCGGAGCGCCAACATGTGCTACCGTGTGGGTGAACTCCAAACACGCGTGCTGAGTGAAAGACGCCAGGCACAAAAGATCACGTGTTGTGTGGCTCGATTTTCATGCAACAACCAGAAAAGGCAAACCCGTAAAAACAGAGAGCAGATTGGTGGTTGTCGGGGACCAGGAGAAGGGGACAATGAGTGACTGTTTAATGGGTAGAGGGTTTCATTTGGGGGTGATGACAATGTTCTGGAACTATCTGGAGGTGATGGTGACATAGCACCACGAATGTACTGAACACCACTGAATTTTGCACTTTGAGATAGCTAATCTTATATATGTAAATTTCATCTCTGCTTTAAAAAGAGTACAGGGTGAATGATTCATTTATATGAAGTTCACAGAAGGAACTGAACTTGATTTCTGTGGCCAACCGAGTTGGAGTGGTGGGAAGGAGATGTTCCCATCCACGTGGCACAGCTGGGAGCCCCATGAAACAGATTCATTAGAGGTCGCCAGACTCCAGACGTTAGTCCACGCAAGACGACGAACTCCGAGAGGTGGGAACAAGCGAGGCGAGTACAGTTTGCTGCCCAGAGAGCACGTCCAGGCTGGAATTCAGGGAGGGGCAACAGAGGCTGAGCACAGGGGACCCCCCGACTTGAGGAGCTGGGAGTCTGGGGAGGCCAAGGTGGCTGGACGTCACAGGGCAGGGTATGGGGAGGACAGAGCCACAGAGAGAACACACTCTGGAAACGTGCAGAAGGTCTAGGAAAGTCTGTGTGATGTCCCATCAGGCAAACTTTGCTGACGTACAACACACAAAGCACCATCCATAAAAGAAATTAATAGGCCTGGGCGCGGTGGCTCACGCCTGTAATCCTAGCACTCTGGGAGGCCGAGACAGGAGGATCGCTCCAGGTCAGGAGTTCGAAACCAGCCTGAGCAAGAGTGAGACCCCGTCTCTACTATAAAAATAGAAAGAAATTAATTGGCCAACTAATATATATACACACACACACACACACACACACACACACACATATATAAAATTAGCTGGGCATGGTGGCACATGCCTGAAGTCCCAGCTACTTGGGAGGCTGAGGCAGGAGGATTGCTTGAGCCCAGGAGTTTGAGGTTGCTGTGAGCTAGGCTGACGCCACGGCACTCACTCTAGCCCAGGCAACAGAGTGAGACTCTGTCTCAAAAAAAAAAAATAAAAACAAATTAATAAACTTGACTTCATCACAATTAAGAACTTCTGTTCTTTGAAAGATGCCATTAAGAGAACAAAAAGACACACCAAGCCTGGGAGAAGATATTTCTGAGTCACGTATCTGACTAAAGACTTGTTTCTGGAATATATAAAGACTTCTCAAAACTCAATAATAAGAAAACAATCCAATAAAGGAAATACGCGAAAGATTTGAACATACACTTCACAAAAGGTGACACATGGCTCACAAATAAGTACATGAAAACACATTCAACATCATTAGTCATTAAGGGAATTCAAATTAAAGCCACGAGATACTACTAGACATCATTGGAATGGCGAAAATTAAAAAGTCTAACCACACCAAGCATTGGTGAGGATGTGGAGAAACTGGAACCCTTCACACTGCTGGTGGGAATACAAAATGATACCATCACTTTGGAAAACAGCTTAGCAGTTTCTGAGAAAATTAAACATATACCTATCACATGATCCAGCCACTCCTACATATTTTATCCAGGAGAAATGAAAAAGCAGCTGCAAAAGGTACAAAGATTTGCACACAAATACTCACGGCAGCTCTCTTTAATAGCCAAACACCGGAAACAACTCAAACCTCATCAACAGGTGAATAAATAAGCAAACTATAGCACATCCATACAACGGACTAGTACTCAGAGATAAAAAGAAAGAAACTGTTAATACACCCTACATAGATGAATCTCAAAATAATTCTGCCGGATGAAAGAAGCCAAACAAAAGAGTGCATGCCTTAAAGAAAAAAATTCACGTTGAATGACCCAATTTATGGAACATTCTAGAAAATGCAAACTCACCTATATTGACAGAAAGCCTCTCAGTAGTTTCTAGGGACAGAGGCAGGGCAGGAGGGATTATTAAGGATCACAAGAGACAACCTTTGGAGGTGGTGGGTATGTTCATTAGCTTTATCATGATGATGGCTCCTTGGGTGTATACATGTGTCACCGCTTATCAAATTGTACACCTTGGCCAGGTGCAGTAGCTCATGTCTGTAACCCCAGCACTCCGGGAGGCGGAGGTGGGAGGATTGCTTGAGCCCAGGAGTTTGAGGCTGCAGTGAGCTGTGATCACACCACTGCACTCTGGCCTGGGTGACAGAGCAAGACCCCATCACTAAAATAAAATTTAAAAATGCATGCCTTACTCATGCACCATTTATCAGGTGTCAACTAGACCTCAACAAAGCTGATTTTTAGAAAGCAGAACTAATTGCACTGTCAGAAGTCAGCACAGTGGTTAGCCCTGGTTAGGGACGGGTGCCAACTGCAGAGGGAGGCAGAAGCGCGGGTCCCCGGGGTGCCGAGAGGGGCCTGGGTGCTGGGGACACGGGCGTGTTGAGGACGAGCATGGAGCTGTACACGTGACTCTCCTACATGCAGGTCACACCTCAACAGCCAGTTACTGAGATAAGGCCGGCCAGCGACGCGTTGACCTGCCTCCACGAGGAGTGGGCAGTCAGAGCTCACCGACACCCGAGTCCCCAGGGCAAAGGCCCAAGCGTGACGCGGGTGGGCACACACGGGCAGCAGGTGGCTGTGGCCGCGTCCCTTACCTCCTGCCGCAGGTCCCTCATGTTCCTGGCTGTCTCTCCCGGACACGCAGGGCCGGCTGGCTGCGGAGCCCGCCCTGGCCCCGGGGGGTTCTCAGGCTGGTCCCCTCTCTCTTCTTCCTGATCCCAGAATGACTTCCCACCAGACAGCCTGCGGGCCATTTCCTCGGCATTTTCCAGACGGAGCCCCAACTAGGAAGGGAAACCGGGGGGCCCAGGGAAGAGCCACTCAGCCACTCAGGCCATCAGGAGCTGCAGGGCGGGTACTCTGGGCTCCCGCGCCCACCTGGGCTCAGGGAAAGGGGCGCAAGCTTGGGAGACCCGCAGGCTCCGCATCTGCGTGGCAGGTGCCTCTCAGCCAGAGCGCCTGCTGGGCCTTTAAGGCCTGGTTCAATGTCACCACTGCCAGGCAGCCTTCCCAGATCTCCCACGCCATGCCACCTCCTCCGTCCCACCCACGACATGGACACTCATTTGCGTGTCTCCCTTGCAAGGCCCTAGATGAGGGCAGGGACTCGTGTCTCTCTCTAGGCACCATGAAGGCCTGGCCTGCATGGTCCTCAAAATCTGATGGATGGAAGAATGAATCCTTCCTCCTGTCCCCTCTTCCCTCCATCTGCCCGTCCACTCACCCCTCTGTTTGCCCATCCTGTCATCCTTCCCGTCCATCCACCCTCACCCGCCCATCCATCCATCCTTCCTGTCCATCCACCTGGCTACCCCTCCACCTCCATCCACCCTCACTTCCCTCCACCCACCAGCCATCCATCCTGTTCATCCGCCTACTTCTCCTTTCTTACGGACACCTTTCCTCCCTTCCGTCCATCCTTCCCTCCCTCCTCCCATGCAGACGTCTGACAGCACCGGGAGAGAATTCCAGAGATCAGCCCTCGGCGCATCCGAGCCCATCCCCCCGCTGGCAAAGTCTGGGTGACGGGCCCTGCTCTCCAGAAATTGGAAGCGGTCGAGAAAGGGCACAGAACACCCTCCTTCAGCCGAGCCCCAGACGCCTGGGAAGGAGAGGCGGCAGCGCCCCAGCAATCTGTGGACAGGCTGGACAGACGGCCGCAGACGTGTTCCCTGTCCCATTGCTGCCCCACGACCCGTTTTCCACACAACAGCCAGATGCGCAAATGGCATCACGTCACTCCCCACCCTGAACCCAGCCATGACCCAGCCCCGCTGCCCCTGCCCTCCTATGTCGCCATGTCCCCACGCCCCTATCTGCTCTGTTCCTTCAACACGCCCAGCCCTTTCCCTTCTCCGGATCCTGGCACTCGCTGGTCCCCTCCCAGGCGGGCTCTTAGCCCTGCCCGTGCTGCGCACACGCTCGCCCTGCAGGTCTCAGCCCAAACGTCCCCTGCCCGGTGCACTACCAAAGCCGTCACTGCTCATCAATGCGCTTGTTCACGTCTGACCTATCTCCCCTCTGGGCTGTGAGCAGCACCGGAAGGGCAGGGACGGAGTCTGCCACGTTCTCCACCCCGCCCCGCCCCAGAGCCCCGCCCATGCCAGGTGGAGGGTGCGTGTTCGGGCAATGGCTGGTGGGTGGGCAGGTGGAGAGAGGATGGATGAGTCAGAGGACGATGGATGGATGTGGATGGAGGGATAAATGGACAAATAGATGAACAGATGGATGGGTGGGAGGGTAGATGGATGTATGGATGGACAGATGGAAGGATGGATGGGTGGGAGGGTAGATGGATGTATGGATGGACAGACGGAAGGATGGATGGGTGGGAGGGTGGATGGATGTATGGATGGACGGATGGACAGAAGGATGGATGGGTGGGAGGGTAGATGGATGTATGGATGGACGGACGGATGGAAGGACGTCTGGGAAGGTTGGGGCGTGGATGGGAAGGTGGTTGAATGGATGAGAGGGGTCTGGGTGGACAGGTGAGAGGGATGTGGGTGGATGGACAGATATACGGATGTATCTATGGGTGGGTGGGTGGGTGAATATATGGGTGGATGGTGGGAAAAATGGGTGAGTGGATGGATGTAGGGACTGGGGGTAGAACAACGGAGAGAAGGGATGGATGGACGGACAGGTAAGTGGATGGGATAATTTCCGGCCCCAAGTCCAGGACAGGTCCTGGGGTGACTGCAGCAAGGCCCTCCTCTTACCTCCAGGGGGTTGAAGGCGCAGCCTACGGCACGAGCGGTCAGGTTGGCCGCAGCAGAACGGGGAAGGAAGGAGGCAGGGGAGAAGAGAAGGGTCCCCTCTGGGTTGGCTCCCAGGCTGCTGGACACTAGGACAAAGGAAAGAGGACCGGAATGTTCCATGCCCCTCCCACGGCAGGGCCTGGCTACGAGAGGCCACAGCCTGAGACAGGGCCGGACACGTGGTGCATCTTCTCGGCCAGGATGGGACACAGCCTCGAGCCCTGTCAAGGACAGAGGGTCACGCACACGCCTGCATCCCCGACGGGCAGAGAGAAGTGCCCAGGGCACCCCACGACCCCCCAACAGGTGTCCAAGAACAGCTGGGGTGGCTTAGGAGCCCTGGCTAGAAAGAGGCTCCCCGACGGATTCTCTGTTTAACCACAACCAAGAGGCAGTGTCAGTGCGGCGCTGATCTCTCTCTTTTTAGCACAGGGAAGACCAGTTTTCAAAAGGCACAGCCCTCCGCCGCCAACGCAATCCAGGAGAGTTTAACGACAGTGCTCATTACCTGCCGCCGGCCGCACGGTATTTCGTTTTAGGATTGCCTCTCTGCAGAGAGTTCAATTGCTTTGCCATTAATCGTAGTGATGGGAAGTTTCCTTCTTAAAATAAGCTAAAAAGAGCCAATTCAGAGAGAAGTTGGAAGCATTCAGCCGAATGCCATAAGACGGCTAATTTGACTATTTTTGATCTTTCCCAACAAAAGCGGCAGGTGCTACGGGGACACGGCAACACCCCGAGCAGGTGGCACAGCAGCACCTCACCCGAGGAAGCAGCGCCCCCGCCACCCGCCTCAGCAGCCGGGGCTCCGGGTCCCCGCGCCTTTGTGGCCCAGAGCAGGACAGGGGCTGCCCAGGACAGCCGTACCTGAGCGGAAGGTGACGTCGGAACAGGACGTGTGTTTCCACGTCTCCGGGCGGAACTCCCGGCTGAGGAATCGTGGGGGAGGGCGTCCTGGGGGGCCGTTTCGGGGGTCCTCTGTCTCCAGCAGCTGCACGAGCTGACTCCACACAAAGGGGCCCACGGGGCAAGTCGCAGGCGCCGGGCAGGGGGCGGTGAGGGACAGAGCTGGAGCTGACACTGCCCAGAGCAAAGGCCTCCCCACGCCCACACCGGCCCGCTGTCCCCACACACCAGGCCCTCTCGGGAGCTGGCGACTGAGACCCGTGTCCCATTGGAGAAATAGCGGCAAGCAGCAGTGGCTTCACAGAACTCGGACGTGTAGCCTGCGCAAGGAGTTTTGACGCGCCGCCCAGGAGGGACAGGGGGTGTCGTGGGCTTGAGGGTCAGACCTGAGTCTCAATCCCAGTCCCAACACGTGCCGGCTGTGTGACCTTGGGGTGGTCACTGTACCTCTCTGAGCCTCAGTTTCGTCATCTACAAGATGGACTAACGGTCCGTCATGCAGGGCTGTTTGTGACCTAAAAGACTAAGTTATCTTCCAGGTTGGGAAGGCTGGCGGGCAAGCCATGAGGGTCCCTGGGGGGATAAAGGTCGAGCAAGAGTCCTTCCTGGCTCTTGTCTAGTAAAAAAAAAAAAAATAAAATAAAATCGAACGAGACCCTAATGGAAATGAGTCCAGTGGGGGATTATCAGTGTCTAACAGGGACCCTCAGCCCGAGGCCTCGGGGCCCAGCACCCCCGGGGCTGGCGCTCCCCTCCTGCCCACCGCCCGGCCCGTCCGCCTTGCCCTGCCCCTGCCGGCCCCGTTGGGCCTCAGCCACCAAACGGGCCGGCCCTGCCGCTGCCCTTCTACGGGAGCCCCTTGCCGCGAGGCCCCCGGCCCCAGTGCACCTCGGTAACCCCCCACTGCCACAAAGACCACGGCGGGCTGAGGGCGCCGTTGCCCCCCTCGCCCTGGCGCCTCCATAGCCCACCTGGCCCTGTGCGGGGGGCGGGGCGGGGGAGACCGAGAGGCGTGCCGGCGACGCCAGCTCGCACACGCACCCACACCCAAACACACAGACACACCGCCTCCCACCCCCCAACGGGCAAACCCACCGGCACGTGGGCAGAGACAGCCCTCCAGACGTGGGGTCAGAGGGCCAGAGCCAGAGTCTGGGAAACCCCAGGCTGATGGGAGGGAGGGGCCAGTGTCGCCAGGAGAACAGGCAGCTCCATACAAGGACTCAGACGTCCCCCCCACGTCAAAGGTTATCACAACACGCCCCGTCAAATATCACTTATAGTGAAGCCCACAAGAATGGGGCAGAGAAGTACAGTCCCCCAGGATTCAAATCCCAGCTCTGCTGTGTGATGTCGGGCAAGTTACCTAACCGCTCTGTGCCTTGGTTTCTAACATGGAAAGGATGAACACTACCCCGTGGGCTGTTGTGAAGACTAAATGAATGAATCTAGATAAATGGCTTGAAAACAGATCTACCCCTTAGCTACTACGTTTTGCAGCCATTCAGTGAAACGCTTAGAAAAGTTGCTGTTGTAGGGGGCGGGCTTTCTTTCATGCTTTGGAGTCAATAAACATTTTTTTCAGGTCTCAAAATATTTTTGAGTGTCTTTGAAAAAAGTTCACGGGCCTGAAGTCTGTATCTCAGGGGCCTCATGGATGGCTGGACCCTGGGAGGGGACAGCCCTGAGCTGGTGGGGTTAGCTCCCCAGACGTCCCCTCTGGGCCGGGGAGTCTCCACCAGCCCCAGCTGGGCAGAGCGTCTGGGTGGGGAGATCCCGGCCCTGCCCCGAACCGACTTCCCGTGCAGCCCCGCCCCCCACCCCTACAGGCGGTCCCCAGCATGCATCGGGACACTAATTCCAGCAAGAGGGTCCCTGTCCAGGGAACAATGGCCGGCTTTATCTGCCAGGCCCTTCAGCCTCTGGTCTCAGGCAGCACCGAGCTTGGCCCGTGGGAACCTCCAGGCTCCCACTTAATCCCCTTCTTGGCACACGTCCCTGAACTGAAGGGCAAGTCAGCGTCGCGGGGCTAGGACGACACACCGTCATCCGTCCGTCCGTCCCTCACCGGGGACCCGGGACAGCACCAAGACCGCCCTCCGCCACCCAGGGACCCCCGAGCCGGCTCCGGGCCCAGACCCCCACGCGGAGGGAGGCGCTTACCCGCCGTCCCGGTGCTTGCAGGAGGGACGCCCCCACGGTTCCGTCAGCTCGTCCGCCGCGGAAAGGCCCCGGAGCTCGGACACCAGCGTCGGGAACAGGTCCACGGCCTGGGGTTGGGGGGGGCAGGCGTGAGACACCCGGCAGCACGGAGGAACCCCCAAGGTCACCCCACCCCCTCTGTCTCCAGGGGAGTTCGGCCTCGGAGAAAGCAGGAACGACACCACGACCTTCTCCCGAGGGGTCGCGAGACCCGGTGAGATGAGGCTGCGGACCCGATTCCCCCCACGGCACCCCAGCCCGCACACAGCCGCGTCCACTTTCAGTCTTTAATAGGCTTTAATTGAGCGCCTGCCTCCCGCCATGTATGGGACAGGGACAGGGCAGTGGAAGTAGACAGGGGCCCACATCTATGGGCTTGGCAGTGTAACAGAAGCTCAAGAAACGTTCACTAGGATTGTGATCGAATTACCGCAGCGAGCCTTAGCGTGTGTCACACGTTTACTGAGGTAGCAGTCTCTTCCAATTCGTTTCGGTTCACGGAATTATTAACAGTCGTGGGCTAACAGAGGGTGTTTTGGGGGTTGCCGAGTGCCCAAAACTCACAAAGAAATGAAGGACTCTACTCAGCTCATGCCCCGAGGGCGTGGGGAGGTGTCTGGTCTAGGAAGCCCGCCAGGGGCCTGCAGTCGCAGGCTTGGGCATCCGTGGCCTCCACGCTTCTCCAGGCTCAGCTGAGGCCAGGACTGCAGGCCCTGCCCACCCAGGGCCCACCTGCCGCCCTTGCCCTGGGCCTGCGCCGCTCTGCGTGGCCGTGGCCAGGTCCCCATGCACACAGCCCGACCTCGGCAGGACGCAGGCTGCAGCACAGACCCCTCCCTGGCCAGCCGGCCACCCACCACAGTCCAGACAGCCTTCCCGCCGTGCGCGTTCTGCTGGTGGGGCCAGGGCCACCCTAGCTCTGTCTTTACTTCCTCCTGCAGGACACACAGGCCAGCCCTGTGCAGGCTGACTGCCACCGCCACGCCTGGCCCTGACCAATGGCGGCCTTAAAGGGTCTCTCTCGGCCAGGTGCGGTGGCTCATGCCTGTAATCCTAGCACTCTGGGAGGCAAAGGCAGGAGGATCACTCAAGGTCAGGAGTTCAAGACTAGCCTAAGCAAGAGCGAGACCCCCTCTCTACCAAAAATAGAAAAAAATTGGCTGGACAACTAAAAATATATACAAAAAATTAGCTGGGCATGGTGGCGCATGCCTGTAGTCCCAGCTACTGGGGAGGATAAGGCAGAAGGAGGATCGCTTGAGCCCAGGAGTTTGAGGATGCTGTGAGCTAGGCTGATGCCACGGCACTCACTCTAGCCTGGGCAACACAGTGAGACTCTGTCTCAAAAAATAAAAAAAGACACTCTCTCGCCGCAGTTTGGGGCAGCCCTTTATAAATGCCTGAGACCTGGGTTCCCTATTCTTAGAACACCCAGGACTTTAGGGCAGCTCCCCTGGGCACTTTTAGTTCCAGACCTGCTTCCCTCCTTCCTAGCAGGCTCAGCTGCTGTCCCCCCGGCTGGCAGCCGCCTTGCCCCAAATGACCCCTGGTTCCCGGGGCTGGGACACGTGCACAGATGGCACGCTGCTGTGTCTGGCTGAGCACCTGCCCACCTGGGGGCAGCTGGGGCCCGCCCTGGCGTGCTCCTCCTGCTCGGGGGAGGCTTCTCGCGACAAGTGCTGGGCTCGGAATCAGCCTTCCAGAGCCAGGTGCAGCAGAAGGGGCCGTGGGAGTCTCACCCTGGTTTCCCTCCAGCAGAGAAGGAAAAAATACAACAGTAGAAAAAGGGCAGAGCTGGGAAGGCACAGGATGGAGGCAAAGGGTACGAGGCTCCCTACATAGATACAGGGAGGAAGGCGGCTGCCATCGCCACTAATACCAAAGGATAACGGCAACAGTAGCAAGATCACCAGTTACTTAGTAAGGAGCCTTTACTATGTATCGGGCAGTGTTCTGATCATCTGAACCGTGTCATTTA